TTGTGATCTCAGAGTCCTTATCTCAGAGTTGTGAGATTGAGCCCCTCCTCGGGCTCCAAGGGCTCAGTGCAGAGTCTGCTTTTGACTCTTTCTCCTTCTCCCTCTGCTCCTCTCCCCTGCTCTCTCTCTTTCAAACAAATAAATAAATCTTTAAAAAAAATCATCTTTGGGGCACCTGGGTGGCTCAGTCGTTAAGCGTCTGCCTTTGGCTCAGGTCATGGTCCCAGGGTCCTGGGATCGAGCCCCGCATGGGATTCCCTGCTCCACGGGAAGCCTGCTTCTCCCTCTCCCACTCCCCCTGCTTGTGTTCCTGCTCTCGCTCTCTCTCTCTGTGAAATAAATAAAATCTTAAAAAAAAATAAAATAAAAACTCATCTTTTACCTAGTTAACCAAGGTGTAAACTTCAGTGTCATCTTAACTCCTCCTCCTTCACCCCACACTCAGTTAATCTTCAACTCCTGTCCAGCAAAACCTCTAAAGTAGGTCTCTGTCCTCATTTCCATTCCCAGAGCCATACAGCGTCTCTGCTGTGTCTGGACACATGATGGCAACTTGAGAGAGTGGCACCAGCGTCAAAATTCAGAGTAAGTTATAGACGACATGGACCACATTTTATGTAGTTATTTCCTAAACACTGCCGGCAGTCTCTTGCAGACATGCCTTTGAACACACTGCTTCCTCTCTCTGGAATGTCCGTTCCCTTTGTTCCCTCCACATGCATCTTTCCAGACCTAGGTTACATGTCACTGACCCTGTGAAACATGTTGGAACCCTCCAGGCAGATTGAGGCATCTTCTGCTTTGTCCTCTTACACTACTCTTCACTTTCTTCTGTTAGAGTATGTATCCTGTTCAACTGTAATTGTTCTTTCCTTATTTCCTTCCTTCCCTCCTCCCTCCCTCCCTTCCCTCTTCCCTCCCTCCCTCTCTTCCTTCCTTCCCTCCCCCTCCCTTCCTTCCTCCCTCCCTCCCTCTCTTCCTTCCTTCCCTCCCCCTCCCTTCCCTCCTCCCTCCCCCCCTTCCTTCCTTCCTTCCTTCCTCCCTTCCTTCCTTCCTTCCTTCCTTCCTTCCTTCCTTCCTTCTAAATTGGACAGATCCAATAGGCTGTAAGCTGCTAAAAGTTACAGCTCATAGTATTAAGTTTTATATCCCCAGAACATAGCCTCATGCCTGATCTAAAGCCGTTGTTCAGTAAATATATGCTTGAAAGTCTGTATATGAGAATGAAAGCCTACAAATTCTCCTGGTTGTTGCCATTGGAGAATAATTTATTTGTGTTCTTTCTCCAACAGAATACAGAGAGAATTTGGTTTAACTTTCAAAAATATATTCTAACAAGATAAAAGAATGTCTCTCTTTTGCCCTTTTAGGCTGACTTTTTGAACCCAAAGCCAATTTACTCGAATTAAGGGAGTTGATGTGATTAGTGTTAGGAAAGATTTTATGTAATGGGATTTGGTTTACTTCAAACAAATTTGGATGAATATGAGTCTCATGCAATATTTTAACATTTTAATTCATTGCTGACTCTACAGGGCAAAGGGGATCATAACCCTTAGTCCAATTTCAGGATGATGAATTGAGGCTTTTTTCAACAAGGCAGAGGATAAAAGATGACTTGCTTCAGTTATAGTACTGCAAATTGCATTTATATTTACAGTAAGTAAATTCAGTGCCATGATAGTTGATATTTTTGCTGAAACAGGATGTTGGTGTCATTATAGTGATATTTGCTAAACCATAAATTACAGATTAATTATTAAGTTAAAATAAATTATTAAATATAAACCTACTCTGTGCTCTGAATCATGTGGTATGGAACAGATGCCTAAAATGATGCTCCAACCTGGCAACGATGTGCTTAATATAAAGTTAATGTGTTAAGAAAAAGCAAAATCACTGGGCAGTGCCTATCTCCTGAAGACAAGAAAATAAAATCATTGCTAAATAATCTAAGAAGTTGTCAGGAACATTGATCTAAATATCAGTCTGGAAATTCTAGATGGGAGAATATTGTGAGCAAACATTCTCGTATGTGGTGTATAGCAGTTGCTGAATAAATATATGCTTGAAAGTCCGTGTATGAGATCAAAGTCTTAAAATTTCAGTGCTCTTTACCTTCCCACTGACGTTGGGCTGATGTTACAGAAAAGTAGGATTTCGGGTTGTATAGTCAGTATGAGGACATTTACAGAGCACCTAGAGACATTAAACTCTGTGAAACAGTCTCGTAGAGAGACATCATGAATCCTTAGGCAGGAAAAGGACATGATGAAAATAGGAATTACAAAATATTATTTTGACAGTTGTGAGATTTCCTGGGTTTGGCAGAGACTGGAGGCAGGATGGTGAATTGAAAGAATGTTACATTTCATTTTTTGCAGCATTTATACTATTTATATTGCTCACCTACTTATGGTGCTCTAACGACTTCATGAACAGTTTCTCAGTCTTTTTTTATTCCCCTAGTCTTAGGGTACATCTAGTTTAGGAGTTACTTAGAACCCTAATTTAACTATGTCAGACATAGTTTTAATAGCATGAAGTAGAGAAAAGAACAAAGGACCGCTGGTTCTGCTCTCATTTAGGCCACAACTACCTGCAGGCCTGTGAGCAGGTCACTTGATGTCCTCAATTTGGAAATAAGAGCGATGACCTGGATGAGCTAAGACCTTTTCAGTTGAGCTTTCTGCAGACCAAAAGAGTTCTTGGAAGCTTCCAAAATATTCACCTTATCGTTGACCAGCAAAAGTACTCAGCATATATTTTAATGCATACTAGGAAAAATACACCTTCCACTCCTAAAATTTGGCAGAATATTCCACCCTCCCATAAGAGAGATGGTAGGTTCATAATGATTACAATATATAGGCGATTACCTTTTCCAAGAATGTGTTAAAATATAGAAGAAAATAGCAGAAAATTAACCCTTGTAAATGAACACAATGTGCTTCCTGTATAATTTAAATGTTTTAAATAAAGCTACTTATTTGCATAATGATGCTTTGGAAAGATATAGCTTAAAAATAACAATGCTATTCATTGATTTGAAATTAAAACAAAAATAACATGTAAATTAATCTGGAAAAATGTCATGTTACTCTATAATTAGATGTATTAGTAAATGTGTGCTATCACTTATTAAGCTAAATTTGGCATAGAAATAAATTTCAAAGTAATGAATCTATATTTTCTATTTATATTTTGCAAATTTTTATTTATCGTCATCAGTTTGTTAACCTCTATAATATATATAGTTTACATGACAGATGTTTAAAAATAAGTAGCTCTCTAGTATTACTTATCTAAATTGAAGTTTAAATCTGATCACTGTAGGAAATGATTTATAGGAAACATTGTGTGAAATATATCAGAACACCCAGAAAAACACTGCAGATAAAAATTTCTAATGTCATAAAACTAAACAAATTATTATAGTGTCTAGACAGTGTCCAAAGACATGGTAAAATAATTTTTTTGATAAATTGGTTTTATAGACCAAACAAAACATTTGATTTGTTTGAGCATCACTTAATTTTCCAAACCAGTGAAATAATGCACAGCATGAAGTTATTTACTTGAAAATATTAAAAGGAAAAGGATAGGGCGCCTGGGTGGTTCAGTTGGTTAAGCGTCTGCCTTCGGCTCAGGTCATGATCCCAGGGTCCTGGGATTGAGCCCCGCATCGGGCTCCCGGCTCAGCAGGAAGCCTGCTTCTCCCTCTCCCACTCCCCCTCCTTGTGTTCCTGCTCTCGCTGTCTCTGTCTCTGTCAAATAAATAAATAAAATTAAAAAAAAAAAAAAAAGGAAAAGGATATTTTATCCCTTGGAGTATTTTCCTTTAGTCAACAAACATCTGTAAGTTTTAGAAAATTATTCCTAGTAATCTGGTCTAAGTAGCACTAGCATTGTCATCATTTGGGGGTTGGGCAAAAATGCAGATTCCTAGGTTTTTCTGCATACATAACAGATTTCTGGATGTACCTCTGAAATCTGTACTTTAAGATAGTTTCTGGGGAGCTTTTTGTGCATAGTGAATGTAAGAACTACTAAATTCTCCTCTTCTTATCCTTCTTTTGGAAATTTTTGCTTTTCATTTGATGCGGCGTATTGGAGAATGGAATCTTGAATTTGAATGTTGAACAGGATCTGCTTGGATATCCAGAAAAATCTTGAAATACCCAGTTGTTCTATTATCCATAAATAGGCTTTTCTATCCTTTAGTTTCTGCTTGAACTTGAGGTTAATAAAATATGTTCTTTTCAGTTGTTAAATACTATTGAGTGTTCTATACATTTGGTTATATAAAACGAAGTATTAGATATTGGAAACTTTCTTTTATGTTACTTTCAGAACACACATTTTTCCAGAAGGAATTTTCCCGTAAGTTATACTTGGGCATTAATGATTTCTTGCCTTCTTCAGTAGCTTAATTCAGTGATCATCTTTTGCTCATATCAACACAGGAATCTATAAATGTTGAAAACCAAGTTGGTTTCAGTTCCTCATAATCAAATCTTCTCATTCCTATTTGAGTTAGCTCCCTATTTGCACCACGAGGCTTATTAACAGAAAAATGCCAATGTATTTCATACAATTTTTTTCCCTTTCTAATGGTCTTTTGAGTTTGCACTACCTGGAATTTGAACAGCATCCTTTACTATATTAAATTTTGGGTTTCCGAAAGAAAGGGACCTCTCACTTTTTAGCATTCAGATTTTATCATGTAGTCTTGTAATGATGATTTCCTATGTCACCATTGTTCTCCCACCATCCTGTTTCCCTTTGCCATTTTCAGAGTGTCTTGGTGACTTGTTAGATAAGTTTGAAGCTTTCTGTCCAGCAATACCTTTAATCCCTTGGGGTTGCTCAAACGTTAAGCCTGATGGATCTAACTGGTAAAGTCTAATAAGAATTGCTCTTACAACCAGGATGATTCATGGGAGGACAGTTGACTTATTTTTTTATGTATCTTGTCTCTCTTCTTCCTGACTTGACAGCTCCCCCAACGGTTCGTATTGTGCATTCAGGCTTGGCCTGTAACATTGAGGAGGAGCGCTACTCGGAAAGGGTCTATACTATACGGGAAGGAGAAACACTAGAACTGACCTGTCTGGTCACAGGACATCCACGTCCACAGGTGAGTCCCGAACTGTGACATTGAGGAAAACTCTCTTTGATCTTTCTTGGAAGCCAAAAATGTATATTTTAGAAGATTTAGCTAAAAAATCATGTGTGTGTGTGTTTGTGTGTGAGAAATTCAAGTAATTGTGTGTGTGCAATGCAGGATAAGGGTGGTGATTGCTGAACATTCATGCTTGTCGTACTCACTTGGATAAGATGAAGAAAGAAATTTTTGTTTTGGTATTGTGAGAAATTTGGAAGACACTTCTAAGGAAGCTGTTAAAAGACAACTACAAAAATATCTCAGTCAGATAACAATTCATATGGCAATGAGTTTATTTTAGAATGTGGAGCATGATTTCATGATGACATAATTGCAGCCGAAGAAGCATTTGTTCTGAAGAATGTGGTGCACGAGGTCACATGTACTTTCCTTCCTCCTAGTCATTATATTCATAGAAAACTTTTTAAAAACAAATGTTTGCAGGTGTATGCATTCACTTTCAGAGTCATCTGCTACAGTTTTCATAAGCTACTTTAATAGCAGGAACAGAAATTGAGACTTTTCAAAGGGCACTAAAATTATAAATAATGAGCAGAGAAAAAGTTTGTAGGAGTGAAAGAAAGGGTTAGGCAGAGGTAATATAGTGTGTATTTATGATGTAAAAAATTCCAATATAATACAGAATATTCAGGATGTCTTAGTCATTAACTGCCAATTCTTACTGTCATATATTTAACATGTCTAGTTCAAAATATACACCGGTAATCAGCACAAACACTACGATGGAAAAGAGGTCTCATTTGGTAGCAAAGTTACATATTTTAAGTATTAGTGTTGCAGGAAGAAAAAAAAAATCCAGCTAATACCACTGCATAGAAGAAAGTAAGGAGCAATGTGGAGATTTTATGAACTCATCATTTTAATCTTGTCTTTTGCTCCTACCATCCTTAACTCTTACTACTCAAAGATGTTCAACCTTACCATTTTGACTCAAGCGACAAATAAAAATAAGCATATGAACTTCACAGAATGTAGCCAGAGATTGAAAGATAAGACCATAACTAGAACTAAAATGGTAAAATATGTTTAATAAAACTTAATGCTACACTGTTAGTAAAAAGTAATCTAGAAAAAATAGTTATTAAAATAGTTATTATTAAAAATATTAAAAATTAAAATTCACAGTGGCTTAAATTGCAAATTATAACATTTGCTTTTAACTGAAAATTAATAGATAAAATTATCTTCCCTTAATACTAGGAATTTCTTATTTTCTCCATACATTTTTCTCTGTAACGATTCACAATCTGGAGTGTAATCTCTGATGTCTGGCCAATCCAAAATAAGTTCTGGAACAAGGAGTAGATTATTACCTTATTTTATTTTTTCTAAGCAATTCCATTGCTGGAACAATTTCAGTGTGTTCTGACCCTAAGAAAAATTTATTTCAGTAGTGTTATTTCTTCATTCCTAGAAGTTAATTCAGGTATTTGCAGGTGAGTCAGTTTCCATTTCTGTTGCCTGTTTGAAAAATTAATGGGGCCTCTTCTTTGTCAATAAACTGTGTAAGGAAAGCTGACAGAACAGCTGGGCTCTGGCATCCCGGCCAAACACTAAAGGGCATGCTAGTGGCAGCTGGTCCTGAGGGTGGGTTTTCTTGGCTGGTATCATGAAGCTGGATTGTCTTTCTTGCCGCTTTGTCTAACGTGAATATGATAACAGTTGGGAATGCTGTGGGAGAGAGAAGCTCCTCACTGCACTCTTCAGGAGATTTCTCTGTTGCCTATTCTTGTGGCAACGAGAATCATAAAGTCTCCATCTCTAGAAGTATTCAAAGGCAGCATTTTTTTCTAGATTTTAAAAAATTTTCTCCAAAAATATATCATCTGGCAATATGGAATGGCCTGAGGGTAATACTGTATCCAAGGGAAATAAATGAAGGAGAGGAAGGTACAATGCCATGGCTCATAGCATGGCCCTGGACCCAGACTGCCTGGATATAACCCTGGATCCACGGGGCCTGCTGGTGTGACATTGGGAAAGTTCCTCAACCTCTCGGCTCTCTCTGCCTCAGGTTTCTTATCTGTATAAAAGGGATGATGGTAACCATCATGCCTAGATCATAGACTCCTTTCGAGAGTTAAATGTAGATTGTAAATATATAGGTATGTGTATTATGTATATATACATATATATGTATATGTACTTGGCATGTAATAAGCATTATATAGACACATAATAAAACATATGCTTGATTTTTATTGTTTCTAAGCAATTTATACTTAGACTTAATGTCTAGAATTGAATATGTAAGTATCAAAATAAGTAGGTTGAAAAAAAATGGTTCTTAGCTTACAGTCTACTTTAAATTAGATGCATTTAAATAAATTTCAATATTTCTGTGTTTTAATACTCTGCAGAGCCTTTACATCTCTGCTAATTACCTTTTTTTTTTTTTAGCTTGCAGGGACTAGAACTATGTTCAGACTACTTCATTTAATGAGAGTTTATTATAAAGATAGATGGAGAGATAAGAAAGAAGGGAGGTAAAGATTTGTTGGTAAACCTACCAACCTAATATTACCTCTAGATGCCCACAATTTCAGGATTCAGCTACCCACTCTCTTTCTCTTCCTTGTTTTCTTTTTCCCTCCCTCCCTCCCTTGCTCCCTTCTTTTCTTCCTTCTTTCCTTCCTCTCTACTCTTTCAATATTATCACATTAATACCAAATGAATTGTGAATATAGTTCTCTTGTAAATGACTTAAACAATGAGATATTTAACTTGAATATTCCCCATCACTCTCCCACCCACCTCCCAGAAATTAACATTAAATAGTTGCATGTATTATCTTGCAGTCCTTGTTTAGTGCATTTCCATAAATATGATTATATATGTTAATGTTTTATTTTCATTTTTAAATTAGATAATGAAAAATATTGTTCTGTGACTAGAATTTTTCACTTGGCCATGTGTCCAAATCAGCAAGTATAGATCCAGCCTAGTGGTTCTCAATGGGTGATCCCTGGAGAGAACTGGTTAGAAATGAAAGTTCTTGTGCCCATCATGTCAGAAGCTCCTGTGTTGGGGCCAGCAATCTGTGTTGTCACAAGCCCTCTGAGTGATTCTGATGTACACTAAAATTTGAGAAGTACTGACTTAGAGCATTATCCTCACAAAGCCTGAATTGTACTCTGTATGCATGCACTAGATATATGTAATTGCTGCTATTTTGTTCAAAATTGAATTACTTATGGATTTTTACTATTACAAATAATAATTTAGTGAACACTTCTGGAATGTATATGTGTTTATGCACATCTTTATTACATGTATGCCAGCATCATTGTAGGATAGTTTCCTTCTTCAAAACGGAATTTAGCCAAAGTTGAAAGTGACTTTTACTTGCTTCCTTAGTATAAGTGAATCTTTAATATTTTTGCCAATTTGATGTGAGAGGGTGAATTACATTCCAGTGAAATTTAAATTTTCATTTTCTTAATTACTAGTCAATTTGAACATATTCCCACACATGTATCAATCATTTGTTCATCTTCTTCATCTATTGATTATTTTTATCTACTTCTCTTCTCTTATTGGTTAGCTGCTTGTCTTCTTGTGGACCTGCAGGGACTTTTTATGTACTATAAAAATAAATTCAGTGTCTGCAAAATATGTTGCAAATTTTACCTACCAGACAATATTTGTCTTTTAATATTGTTTGTGTTACTTTTACCCAGAGATTTTTGTTTTTTAAAAGATGAATCATTTTAATCTTTTCAACTTTGGTTTACGAATTTTGTCCCTAGTTTAGTAGATCTCTTTCATATCAGTGTATCTTACATCGTATGCTTTCTTTTTAAGTAACAGCTTATCTAGTTACTTATGTACTTGATGATTTAATCATTAGGAAACATGTTGTCCATAGTGTGAATATTAGTCTAGTGTTCTCTCTCTTTCTTCTTCCCTCTGCCCTAATCCAGACAGGATAGTTAACATTCCACCCTACATAATAAAACATATGCTGGATTTTTATTGTTTCTAAGTAATTTATACTTAGACTCTAACTATAACTCTAACAATAAAAATGCTATCTTTAAAATGCTATTTTTTTCTCTTTTTTAAAAAAATTGAGGTACAGTTGACATAGAACATTATATTAGTTTCAGGTGTATAATGTAAAGATTTGGTATTTGTAAACATTGAGAAATGATCACCACAGTTAAGTCTAATTAACATCTGTCCCCATACGTGGTTATAAAAATTTTTTCTTGTAATGAGAACTTTTAAAAACATTCTAACAGGGCACCTGGGTGGCTCAGTTGGTTAAGCGACTGCCTTCAGCTCAGGTCATGATCCTGGAGTCCCGGGATCGAGTCCCACATCGGGCTCCCTGCTCAGCAGAGGGTCTGCTTCTCCCTCTGCCCTCTTTCCTCTCATGCTCTCTGTCTCTCATTCTCTCTCTCTCAAATAAATAAATAAAATCTTTAAAAAAAAAAAGACATTCTAACATTATATAATGTTTAATGTTAAACATTAAAGCATTTTTAAAAGTTATTAAAATTCTATCTTTATCATGAACAAAAATTGCATTATTTTATCATTCTAGTTATCCCTTCTTATATGGTGCCATGCTATTTTAATTCCTGTAGCTTTATTTTATGCTTTGCTATATAGGAAAGCAAGTCACTCCTTTGTTGTTGTTTTTCAGTATTTCCTTGATTGGCCTCAAGCATTTTTCTCTTTTCTTTGATGTTGAAAATGAGCTTTTCATACCTCCCACCCAAATAAATGCTGAAATTTTAATTACATTGCATTTTTCTTGCCATGAAACCATGTGGTAGAAAGTATGGAAAACTTCTACAAAGAACTTCTCAGTAGGACACTTTGAATATTTCAAACTTCTCAAACTGGAAGACAGTTCTATTGTAATAAGTATAATGTAAAGGTCTTTGAATTTGTTTCAGTAACAAACATAGGTATGCATATTTGGGAGGCGTTCTTTCTCTTTT